TTTTCTCAAGTTCTTTGGGTTTCTCTCTCCTTACTCTATTCTATTTGTCTGTTTACCCTCTTCTCTTTTTCTTCCTTCTTCCCAAGTCCCTTCCTCCCTCAAAGGGATGAGTAAATGTTCTACGTACACACATCTCTTTTCCTTTTGTTGTCATTATCTCTGTATAGGTCCTTATCAGTTTTAAGTCCTTTCGTGTTCCTTTTCTTTCTCACATGAATTCTTGGGAAAACCAGTTCTTGGAAAATATGACAATGATACTATGTACATTTATGAGTTTTTTTGTTTGTTTGTTTTGCTGCAGTTGTTAATATCCAGTGCCAGAAGTACTTTTGAGTTTTGGTATGCACTGTCTAGACAGTTTCCATACTTCCTAGAACTAGCCTCAAATTTTTCTCCTCATCAATTATTTCTGGGAAGCCAAAAATATGACCATGTATAGGTGAAGTCAAATATATGACAAAAAAAAGAAACAAAGGCCATTCTTTCAAAATGAAATGGATCTAGAACTTAGAGAGTTGATGGGGAGGCAGGTTTCACCTAAAACTTGGGTCTATAAAGCCTTTTTGCTTTAAGTATTTTTTCCAGAATTTCTTTTGCAGCTCCCAAGGAGCTTGAAGAAAGGAGGCAGTGAGAAAAATGTTGTCCTGCATTCTTGTGAAGATAGGAACAACATGTAGTTTATTATGATCTCTTCAAAGCAATACACTCTCATGATAATTTAGATTTTTAAACTTTCATTTTGTAGCTCAGCAGTTTGTTTGGAGAAGGTAGGTGATATGTCCAATTCATTGTGGGCTTTGGGATCAGGCACACCGGAACCCATGTTCTCATCAAGAAATGCTTGCTTCTGGTATGTCAGTGCATCAGAATGCAACAGTAGCTTTTGCATAAATCTAGCTCTGGAAGTTTCTATTTCTTCTAAATGCTCTGTCTTCAAATCAAAATGCATCCATCCTTTTAACCTTCAAAACTGGAAACTACTTGGAACTCCCCTTGACTATGAGTAATAAATCATTTTTAATCTGAGTCCCAAGGAGAAGCAAGTCTGCCATCCCTAAAATTTTATATATACGTATCTTTTCTCTTATTATTGTCATTTTCTTTTCACTAGGCCCTGGCCAATGTATAAGTATGTCCCTTTGCATGCATATTACCATTGATGGGTGTGCTGACAATTATACCCTGGAGGGTATGACAAGGTAAAATTTGAAGTTTATGTGTTCAGCTGAAAGAAAAGAGGCAGAAATTTTCCTATAGACGATTGTTTTCCTAAAAAATTCTCTCTTTCCTCTGGAAAATAGCATATATAAAGATAAGTGCTCTCTTCCAAATTTTTCCACACACACACACACACACACACACACACACACACACACACACACACAGACACGTGGTTCTGGAAGGATAGAACAATTTAAAAATATTTGATATTTGTTTATTTAAATCCACCCTTTAGTTTTGAAAAGTGACAACTGATCACAGTAGTTCTGCTTAAGTGCAAACATTTTGGGTGTATTCTAAGATAACAAAATCACACACAAAAGCTCCCTGGATTTTTGCTTAAACCTGAAATATATTTTTAAAAACCACCTCTGCTTATGTTGGGCTACTATATTAGCCCTGGTCAAAGACTTTTTTTCCTTTATTAAATATGAAAATAAAAGGATTTAAATAAAAGTCCTGGATGCAGTCTCATAGAGCAACACTACCATATAAATTATATAATGTGCAATAAACATTATCATAATGGTTGATAGGAAAATGATATTTGAATGATAGCAAATTAAGATAGCAAATTATTGATTTTAAATAATTGGTAAACTTGTGTGGTGTTTGGACTTGTGAAGAATAACTTGTAAAGTTGGCTCCCTCCTAAAATAACAATCGGTGTGAATAAAACTTTGCTTCTTACTATAATTAACATAGCTGAGGTATATTAAAAAAGAGTCTACAAGTCAGTTTTTTCAGGAGATAATTTCTTGAAAAATTGTATTTCCCTTTCCTGTTCTAGCTTTCAAGATGTTTGATCTGAAACATAAAATATCTGCCACATGCAAATCAGCAAATGAGCATAAAAAATAGCTTAGTGTCTCAGTGGGAAAATTAGTTGTCAATTCAGGCTGGCATGAAAATCAAACCATCTTAAATAGGTACCATGGAAGAAATAATAAGAATTCTTAGCTCATATTTGATTCACTACATTTACTGTGTTGTTCCCCAGATATTATCAAGCCATATCAATTGTATTTTTGTCAAGAGAGCCTCTAGAAAAGTTGGCTGGGTACAGAGCATGCACAGACAACGAAAGCACCTCTAATAGAGAATAAAGGTTACTGAGGTGAAAAGAGAGGTGACTACAGTTTTAATTATGCACTAACATTTTAGTATAGGAAACAGATTTGAGTGTGAAGACTGGTTTATTTCAAGTTTGAAAAAAATCTAGTATATTAGTGGAGCTCTGGGGCTACATGGAATAAAGAAATATCTGCAGAGAGCAATTTTTTCAAATTTCATGAAATTTCAGATAATGTGCCCAGAAAGTGTAAGAAGAGTAAAGAAATCTTTGTGGTGGTTGATTTATAAGTTCATCTGTTTTATGATGTTGATTTGTAAATTTATCTATTTTTCTGACTGAAAAGGGATGGGCTTTAATCTTAGAAAATATTAACCATGAGAAAACTTCAATTTTCTGATCAAAGGCTGAATTTAGTACCTCAATTTTATTTCTATTCAGTTATAATTACCAAAGCATAAATGCTTAAAATTTAGTTTGAACATTTTACATCAGATTAAAAATCTTGGTTGTTAGATAAAGAATCGTTAGTTAAGCAAAGTGTTTGAAAAAAAAACAACCCTGAAAATTCAAGATACAGAGACTTAGCCTTTCTGTGGTTGAAAACCCAAATCAATTAACTAACTGACCAACTAGTCAACTAACAAAAATAACTCAGGAAGCCTGCTCCACTGGGAAGAATCAGGATTTGGAAAGTGTTTGGGGTAGGTGCTGTGCCTTCCCCCTGTGCACTACTGAACCTAATGTAGTGTTAAGTAATGAACCAAATGTTATTGTGACAAACCAGAAAACAGCATATTAGATTGTGTTTAACAAACTCTATGACTCAAGCAACTTTCTAATATTTGGGAGAATGATAGGATCTGGCTAGATGTTATATATCATAGCTACTGTGATTCTTTTTCTGAGTGGCTACTACTATAGAGGTTGCATCTATAGAAATATCTGTGAAACCTTAAAAAAAAAAAAAGATATTTCTAATACTGGAGGTGAAAGAATCTAGCCATTTAAACTTTCAGAGCGTACTTGATGTGGCTAATGAAGATAGCTATAATTAAAAAAACTTATTTTACATAGGAAAAGACTGGTTAAATTTCTCAGATAAACTAGACAAGGATTTTGGCAAGACACTAATCAAAGATAGCAGACACTCAGAGGCATACTGCTGTGGGCAGTGACAGGGAGGTAGGGCCTTTTGGGCCTGACTTTGTGTTAGTGCTTGCAATAATATTTACAATAGTGATAGACTACATTTCATAAGCTTAGATAATGTTGCTGCTTCACCATACACAGCCCTAAAAGCTCTTTTCTAATGGTGATAATAAATTTCCATTGATCCAGCCATTTTTTTTTTTTATAAATTCATACATTTATAAGAAAACAATCTTGGTTTAGGAATACAGTTATGATCAAGAAAATGAATGAGGTGAATTAGTCCATGAATTGTGTTATTTGACCCACATTCTACCTAATTGCTAATGAGCACTGAATACATACACACACACACACACACATACACGAAGACTTTAAAGGGTTAAGGGAGAATGCCTTTGAGAATCCTCTTTTTTCTTCTAAGTAAGGAAAAAGTAAATCAAGTATATAGCTAGAAATGGATATGAGAAAAGGGAATGCGACAGATGGTGGTGGTAACCAGAGTTATACACTCATAAATCTATGTGAGGCAGATTACAAGGATGTCAAAAGACTTCAAAGATATACCCTAGTGTCCTTTGAAGATCAAAATGGTATGCTTGCAAAGGACTCTAGGTGAGAATGCCAGGAGTTGATAGGGAGGATTTTGGACTGATTTCAGTTCATCCTCATTTCACTTTATCTTCCTAAGACCTGTCACAAAAGACAGAAAACTCAGGCTAAATAAAATGTCTGCATGGCAAACTTCCCTGCTTTCTTAATGCTGCCTTAAGACTGACCGGCACCATTCTTGGCTTGTTAAGCTTTTAGGTTTTATCTGATTTTAAAAGGGGCAGTTGGGGTGGATCAGGAATGAGGGCAGGACTCTAGGTCATATTTATTTAGTTCCGTTCCAATTATAGCAAGGATAGCTCCTTTAGCTTATGCCTATATTTGGCATGATAGGTTTCCATCAATTTTAGTGTATAGACAGGTTAAGAAATAAATAGTAGATTATCACCAGCATTATCAAGTGATAGAAATTAAGCAATAATAGTATGAACTTGGTTGCGAAATTGCTACCTCAATAGGAATCAGACTGCCCTACATTTGAGAAAAAATGGCCAGACCCAGTGTGACAGAATAATTTAAGTCATCAAGTCTTTTACTGCAATATGGTCCAGCCATGTGGCATTGTCCTGGCCTGACCCAGTTGGTGATAAAGGTCATTCCAAGATGCACTTTCATTCAAGAGTCTAAGAAATCACCATATGTGGTCTTGCAAACTGCATAAAAGCAGAAACTCATCCAAAGAAAGAGATCCAGCTTGGTACTCTTTAAAGACACGCATGTCATGTATACTGGTATGAGGCTACTAAATCAATAAAATAAGTGGAAAAGAGAAGAAAGAGCTGAGAAGTCCAGCTCAAGTTGGGAATTTTCAATGGAAGCTCATGAAAACCCAGAAGATCTCCACTAAGGCACTACAAGATGATTTTAGTGATGGAGCAGAATGATTAGTAGTCTAGTTATGGAACTAATACTACAATTAGTGATTTAGGGCTGGAATACTGACCGTGTGCTGTGGTCAAGCTGATTTACATACAGCTTTATGAGGGAATGCTCCTCAGCCACAGGGCTGGATACACTTATCCCCTCAGGTAACCTGAGGGATTCAAACAATGAGACCTCATTAAAACCTCCCATGGACAGAGCAAAGCCCACTCAGAGAGGAAGGACTTCAGTGTATATAGCTTTATTGAACAGCACCCTTAAAAGAGAAACCAGAGGCCAATCTCCATGGTGATTAGAAAAACGGCAAACTTTAAACAACATGTCTGTGATTCACAGGGAACATTCCAAAAGGAATGAAAATAGGAAAAAGGGAAATGATCATATTTTGAGTTAATAGGTATCATGCACCCTGGAGGAACCAGAATAGCTCAAAGTATTATAGGAATATTTTAGAGTAGAGGAAGCCATGTTATCCATCTAGACGCATCCACCATAAGCACCGTCCGAGCTGAAATGATATAAAATGACCTTCAGTAAGGATGGGGTCTATCTTTGCTTGACACTTGCAGAATGCAGAGCTTCCTAGTAAACACATAACATCTTTCTTAACATCATGCAAGATCTTTATATAGATGCACAGCCTGTGTCTCTTACAGACTTTATAATTTATGACTTTGTTTTAGAAAAGATAGTTGAATTAGCTGGTTCTGAAAAGGAATGCTAAAAAGAACACATTGAGGGCCTAAAACATATTATTTCACTGGGAGGTTCTGTCATTCAATTAGGTCTTCATTTCCATCTGTTACAGATTTACTTAATTTATAGGAAGGAAGTACCATAAACTGCCACATTCCGTTTCTTCTGCTAATTACAATTATGGGGAACACGTTCATCTCAGGTTCCTGTTCATGGGCACGTACAGAAACTCAGGGTAAAAATCAGCAGTGTTTCAAGTCTCACTGTCTTCGAATCCTTACTAGAATGTACCAGGATATTACAGTGAAACTGGTATCTCAGAAACCTCTTTGGGGAAAAAACTGACTATGTTTGTTTTGTGAAACATGAGGCTGTATATCATTTTTCCTACTGGAAGTCATTTGAAATTTTATGTTCATTTACTCACTCCAAATTTCCTTACCTTTGTTTCTGCTTTCCTGTGAGCCTTCTCCATGTATTTATAAAATAATTCTCTGGTGCTTTATTCATGATATTTGATCAAATGACCTGGAGTACTCTTGGCCCCTGCATATTTGTAATACTAGCTCAAAAAGAAGTTATCTGCTTCACCTGTTCTTTGCTCATAATGGGAGTGGATCTTGTTCATAAAGATATCCACCATTTTTTAAAGTTCTTGCTATTACCCATGAAATTATTTATGTGGGAACTACATTTCCAAGTTTGATCTTCAGCCTCTAGCCTCAGGAACTCCAGAGTTCAAGAAGAAGACAATTCTTTTATATCTGGAGCTTTAAATTAAGAGATGTTTCAGAATATATATAATAATTTCCCCAATTGTACCATGAAATTCCAATTTCCTGGCTTAACTGGACCATTCTAAGTGCTATGAAAGTGACTTTCTCAGTGAAAGAGAAGGCATGCAGTACTAAATGTAAATGTCAGTACTAAAACGTAAACATACCCCACATTCTTACTATAGGTGCACTGTAAATGCAAGTTTCCAGAAGGGTTTTTAATACCAAAAGCTATACTCATTCCTCTTTAAATGTATCCAAATGAATGAAATGGAAAATGTGTGATAGATATTTACATAACTAGTTTCTAACAATAATTTTTGCTCTTGGCTTACATTGGTATATTTTTCTTGCCACAGAATCAAAGCTCATTACCAGAGAGGGTTTATTATATGATAGGATTGGAACTTACCTCCTGGTAATAAAAGGACTTCCTGAGGAGGGGACAGAGTGGGAGAACAGGGTGTCATTCATGCTGGTTACAGGTCTGGGCGGCCTAAAACAAAGTACAGTATGATGCAAAGTTAGAACAAGTAAAAGTCACAAGTTAAAAACTATCTACCATCCTTCAAGGAATGGGGCTAGGAAGACCAGAGTTCTGTGTTACCCAGGATCAACATGAAATTTTACATTTTCCGATTAAATTCTTCAAGTGTTTTACAGTTACATTTCTTGAGAATATGAGATCTCAGTTAGATATTGTGAGGAAGATCTCCGGATACCATAGGAATGTTTATCCATGAGCTTTGAGGCTTGGCTTTGCACTGAGTCATATTCTCGATTGAAGTGAGGATTCTGAGGCAGCCTTACATCTACTGCTTTCTAAAGGGAGAAGCTCTGAAAACTTGGTGATAATCAGAATCTACATCCTCTTGGAAAGAGGAGGATTTCTGAACCTTTGGAAACTTCCTCCTGTGTTTTTCATGACAGTGGCCCTCTCTCAATATGCCATTTGTAAAGACCGAACTGCAAAATCATATTGTGCTTTATTTGCTCTTTGTTCAAAGTGAAGATGCAATTAAGTACCACAAGTATTTACTAACTTTCTGTTATCAGGATGACCCATATGACAGGGCACACAGTACAAGGCATCCCTTAAACTTCATCTTTTTTTGTATGATGAGAAAGAAAATAGGGTTCAATATTCTTCAGAATTATCCATGACTCTAAATATCAACTGTACCTGGTCTGTCATCCTGTTTTTTCTTTTCCCCTTTTTTCAATTTCTTTCTTTTCTTTTTAAAAAAATTTATTTGTTTAAATTAGTTTCAAGTACACTGTACATTGGTTAGTTTGGATTCTATAATGAAGAGATTCTAGGAAAAAAGTAGACTCATTTATCTCAATGTATTTATGGGAACAAACATGCTGTTATACAGTTTTTAAAATGTCAGCACTATATGCAAAAATTCATTGACACTTTGGTTCCTGGTGTTAAATTGTGTTCTAAGATTTCTTAAGACATATTGTTTTTTGGATGAAGTCAAAACAGCAGGTTCACTATTTCATCTAGTCTAAACATGTACCAAAGTTCTGAAAATGATCTTATAGTTTTATATTACTTATCTGGAATGTATCTTTGATACATGAGGCTAGTTTAAAATTAATTCTGCCTTGAATAGAACCTCTCTTTACAAGAAGGATGCTGATTTTATAGAAATGTCCTCTATGAATTTTTGAAAGGTATATCAGATTTTAAAACAATAAACAGAATGAATTATCTTACATAGCAGCTTTATGAAAAGTTAAAAATAATCAACTAGACTATTATTTCTGGTATTCTTTTTTCTTTTAAAAAAAAATTTTCCCATTTTTCTCGATCGCTAGGCATAGAGAAAACAAGTAGACTTGGAATGCTTTTTAACTAGCCTGGTAAACTTACTCTATTAAACCTGGTCACTGCAAAGCTGAAATTGCAGTTTCTTAGTAAAAGGCTTCACGTTTAAGGCTCATCATAAGAATGTTGAACTTGGGACTGAAGTGCCTATTTACTCCATAATCAAATGACAAGTTACCTTATGTAATAAATAGGTCACATTGGAAATTTTAAACATAGTTATTCTTATGAAAAAGAAATAGCTCCACAAGATAAAGCCACAGGGGTGTAGTGCAAAATCTCCTTTCTGGACACGACCTTCGCAGGGAACATTTTTATAAAACTGGTATTCTTCTTGTAAACTGAAAGTGTTCAGCTCAAGGCAGAATTAGTTTTAAACTAGCCTCTGATCACTCACTTGTTTTATGTCTCATAACCACTTATGATTACTAGTCTTTAGAAATACACTGGGGACTACTGAATTACTTACCAAGTATCACTTTGGGCAGCAAAAAATTGAATAGAATAGAGACTGTTAATCATGGCAACATTTACAAGCAATAGCTAAGAATAAATGTCAAAATACCAAAATGTCACCACTGAAGTGGCTATGATGTGTCTACAATGACATAAAATAGATAAATGAACAGCATATTTTAAAATTAGAAGTCTTAGGTATCCCCATGTAAAAAAAAAAAAGAAGACATAGATGTCTGTTCAGGGTACTAACAATTGAAAAATATGGAGAGAAAAACTTTTAAAGTCAAAAACAGAAAAATAATTCTTTTCTAATATAGATGGGACCTTCTGCATCCAGGATTTCTTATGTTATTTCAACAATTAAATATTTTTCACAATTTGCATTTTTAAACTAAGATCTTATGCCTGAAAAAATATATTAACAGCAAGTATAGATCAGTATTTTGATTCAAAGGCTATTTTGAGAATCTGGTTAGATATATGAAACTTTTCTCAGAAAAAAGGTACATTTTGTGTAGAATTTTAAGGGAATTCTGAAACTCTATGTGGAATCCAAATTGTGTAGATTTTGCCCTCAGTTAGTTCAGCGAATAACACATCAGATCATATTGCCACTATAAACTAAAGTTAAAATATTTTTACTCAGCCAATTAATGTGTGTGTGCGCACGCGCACACGTACGCACACGTGCGCGCACATGCACACGCATGAACATGCACACGCACACGCATACACACCAACCCTGAACCGGCTGGGTACAAGGCCTGCGCTAGGTGATACTGCAGTGTGACTGTGCAACCAACTTTTATTTCACGCTGCTTCATTTTGTAATTCTTTAAGTGGGGGCAGCATCCTAATTTTGTTCTACTGCAAAGCTCGTAAGACCCAGGCCATTCACGTCCACCCTCTCCCTCTTCCTCACACCCAACAGCTCTTATTGAACGCTGTCCTCTGGGAGTGAAACTCCAGGCAGGTCTGGTAGAGAGTGACTCTGTGGCAGAGCACAGAGAGCACAGACTTGCCCTCACTTCGTTTTGTTCATTCATTAAAGGATTAGTGACTGTCTCTGGCTGTGGGAAGGAAAGTCGAGACAATAATAAGAACAGCTCCTATGAGATTACTTTTTGAAAGTGGCTGGCCCTTTGGAACACTCCTCATGTTCATTTACCCTGGTTTATTTTAAGGCTTATTTTTAGGAGCAAAATTTCCAAAAATAAGTTAACCGCATTCTACATAATTGGTTTACATTAGTTTTTTGGATGTTTAGCCCATGTCAGCAACTGGAGCCTCCAGACTGTGTATTGCTGAGGACAGTGAACCCTCAAAGCCACTTGGGAGCAAACCAAACAAAGCCCCGGAGTATTTACAAAGCTCATGGACATGCAACAACACAAATCATTTGACGGTGTTTGCTTAGTTCCATCAGAGGAAAGAGTTACTGCTTTCATGAGGGTCTCATATCCACCCCAGTACTGCTTATGGGCCGTGTTCTGAACTGTCTGAAGCATGAACTTTGCATTGGTGAATTCCTAAGGCCAGTAGGTCTGATCGGCCCACCTCCTGACATCAAAATGTAAATAAACCTTGCAGTGTGGCAGGTCCCGCTAAACTGGGCAAAACAAAAGTCAGTTCATAAGGAGGGGGATCCACCTCTTCCAGATGTTTTCTGAGGCACCTGTGAGTAATAACTCCCAATTGTGCATAGAAGCAGATAATGAGCTTCTTTCTTCTTCTTAACCCAAGATAACACCAAAGAAAAAATACTTTCTTCTACCTAAGCCTTTCCTGTTTTCTTGGCCACCTAGTCCTAAGAGAGGCTCTAGGGTTTGGGAGGAGGAAGGGATAGGAGATAGAACTATTCTCTGGCCCTACTCCTTCTGCCCACCAAACTCACATATACTTTGGAGAAACATTTTTTAAAAGTCTGATTTTGGATGTTTTGATGAATTTTCCCACCAATCCCTCTCTTCAACCTTCTCCTGCACAGGTCATGAATCTCCTAAAGTGATGTAGCTTGGGTTAAAACAACAACAAATTCCAGGTTTGCTGCCATCTTTAAGAGGACTGGCTCTGCAGAGAAATGAAACGAAGGGCTTTTATATTTGAGACTCAAAGCACATACGATATTAAGGTATAGTGTGCTTTAAAATTTTCTTACTATAATAATTACATTGATTGTTAACTTTCAATTGTGTAAACTCCATTAACATCCATATTTTCTAATTACGCTTTCTGAATATTTTTCATCTGTAGGTGAATTACATTAGTGTTGCACACTTTACTTGTGCAGCTGGGCTGAAGTACTGTATACCTTTACAATAAAAAAATTATAATGATATTATGTTCACTCTTTTTTTTAAAATTAAATTTTAAAACATGATCCCTGATGACTGATATGAAATTGCCTTTGTATAGATGCAAATATGTGTCAATGAAGAAAGATTTCTCTAATTCTGGACAGTAGAGATACTTACACGATGTGGGCCAAGTTGAGTGGCTTCTCTGGCTGGTCAGGGAACATGGGGTGCAACGGTTCACGGCTGGAAGCACAGCTCAGAGACTTGCTTAACGCATTAGTTAGCTTCTTAGCGGGTGATTTCTGGAAAGAAGAGGACAGTTATAGAAGTGATAACAACTAAAGTTTACGTAACATTTTACCAGATGATTTGCTTCATAGTAGTCATTCATTCATTCATTCATTCATTCAAGAAATCCTCTTTGAGTATCAAATTTAGGGAGTTTGCTCAGTGCTCAACAAGCCACTAAGGTGCCTGCCTCCTGCTGCTTAGTGTCAGCAAACGCTGATAAATGGAAGTACTCATTGTTCATGGGACACCTGGGCTGGAACTTAATGGACCAACAGGAGTCCTTCTGACAAAAATTCAGGAAACTGGGAAGATAATTCCTGGAGGAAGTAGAGACCCCGTTCTGGAGAGGAAAGCAGGAGGCAGATCATAAAAATCCTTATATGTAACATCAAGGGCTGTGGTCTTTATCTTGAATGCAGAGTTTAAATTACAGGGGTGACAGGATCAGATCTGATTCTAGAAGGATTGCTCCTACTTAAGAAGGAAAGAAGGAAGGAGATGAGCAGGATGTTTTGCAGGAATCCAGGTGCAGGATAGTTCAGGTGTGTCAGAATATATCCAATTAACAATAAAAGTGGAAATTCAATCTGAATCTTGAGAATTTAAAATTCATTTTCTTTTCAGAGCATCATGCTACCTCTTTTTCATTTAGACTGTTGGAATGTTTATCTTAGTATTTCCCAGTCAAAATTATCAAAAATAATAGACCATATATATGTGGCCAATTATTTTTGATATTACATGTAATAAATCTTAACCTAAATTTTCCCTTTCCATGAGAAGCCATTTAGTTTTGTCTTTTTCTTTTGTGCATTGAGCCTATAATTGGCAAGATAATAAACTGATTTTGTCCACATTATTTAAAAGCTAAGTAGTAGGAGCATTGTTCCAGAAGTCCCTCTTTGGCTTTTGCTAGGAGAGGTAATTCTCAGAATACTTAAAACAGCAATAACAACAGCTCTTCGCCCCATAAACATCAGGGCCCCTTTATCCTCTTGAGGAGTCTAATCCTACTTTGTAAAGATATTGCTCTGCCATATAATTTTCGCATCCACAACCCCTAAGAAAGAGGCTCTTTCTCTGACACTAGCATTTACATACAACAACGATTAAAAATGATTAGTTTTCAAACACCTCCAGGATTTGAGACAGAAGTAAGAAAATACATTGACAATAAGAAAATAGAAAATGTTTTCTCTCATCTTCTATACAAAATTGTATTTCATGATCTTTGTTAGTATATCTATCCTTAGCATATGACATAATCAACAGTAAAGAGTGGAATTTAAACTGACACGGAGCAGTCAGTGTACAATGTCTTAGCGAGAAACTGTTACTTGAACTCAGAATCTGACAGGTGCTAAACAATTAATACATCTACGCTGAATATTGGTTCCCAATAATTCCTAGAAAGAACATTTTGATTTTAAATGCATATTCTGAAGATCTTTTTATAAAAAAAAAAGTTACTTTTTAGGTAAAGACTATATATTGAAATACACTGAAATATAGAAAAAAACTCATAAAAGTTTACATTTTCTTGTGGAAGAACTATTTTAAGAGGGGTTGGCAGGGACTACGGTACATCCCACAAAAGGTAATCTGTACATACAGCAATACTTTCACAGTATAAGAACAATATCACGGAGACTGATTTTGAGTTTAACTGAGACACAGGTCAGTAAACTGTAAACCATTTGAACAGCAAGTTTATGAAGTTAAATCCTTCCCATAGACCTAGAACCACATGCTTCTGAGAATACATCCATCACATGGACAGACACTCACAGGTCACCTTTAGCAAGTAGCTCACTTGCACTATTTATTGATTTACTAATATAACTGCAAACTCCCCTTCCTCCAAAAAAGTAAAATGGAACAGCATCATTAAGCTCACATGCTTACACGTCTTTTCTTTATCTTCTAGTCATGCACTTAAGAGAACTCCAAGAATCTAAGAAAAAAATAAACTAACAATCATTTTAAAGCAATTCCCACCAAAAAACAAAACAAAAGAACCTTAACTTACTGTGAAAATGAGATTATGCTCCAGAAGGTACTTGCTGTTCAATTGTTACCTATATCGATACTGAATTGCCTGTATTTCAAGAAGTAACATAGTTTGAGTCTTCCTATATTTTAAGTCTTGGGAAACTACATTGGGTTCAGATATAATAACTTAGACATCCCAGTAAGATGGGGAGTGGGAGGAAAGGGGGAAGGAATGTTAGACTACAAGGTAAGTTTGCCCCCTGAATCTGTCACCATCCTTGATATTCCCTTACATTCTGAGCGACAACACTCATACATCCAACTTTAAATATTGTCTGGACCTTGCCTTACCCATGATGTGTACTCTTTCATTTGGTGCTGGTTGCTATGGGAACCACCGGCATGTCCCCTCCAGAAGCAGTCCTGACAGAGCTGGTAATTGTGACACTGCTGGCATCGGTATCGAAATCCCATCATACTCTCGCTGTGGCAGTAGGAACATTCAACTGGATGGAAGACTAAGCAGGCAGTAAACGAAGAAAAAAACAAGAAAAACAAAGTATGAGCCAGGATAAGGAAAAATGCAGCCTAATGAGAATTGCATTTTTCTGCTGTTTGCCATGATTTCAGATGATAGTCAATTTTGGCTGAGAGAAGCATTATGTTTATTCCCAGAGTCTCACCACCCTTTTCAAGTATATGTGTGGAGGCAGAAGAAAAGAAATAGGATGGAGGATTGGTGTTCTTTTAACAACAAATCTCTGTAATGTCATTTGCTCTTTCTACTCCCATCTCTTACACTACAAGAATATAAATTACCCAAACTGACTCGCCTTTCCCCCAAACTGCTCTGTCTCCAAGAGACCAGCACAGCACACTGAAGACTCAGAAGCACAATGGCTGAACACAGCTGACTATCTAGTGGGTAGAGAACAAATATTACAGAAATGGAAAACCAGAGAAAGAAAAAAGGAAGGGAAATGGAGGGAGAGTAGAAAAACTGGGTGAGAAAACTGAATTATTTTTTAATCTTTCAATTAGAGTTGACATTCAATACTATTTTATATTAGTTTCAGGTGTACAGCACAGTGGTTATATGATTTATAAAGCGATTTCTCGATTAGTCTAGTATGTACCTGACACTATATATAGTTACTACAATATTCTTGACTATATTCTCTATGTTGTACTTCACATCCCTGTGACTATTTTGTACCTACCAATTCATACTTCTTAATTCCTTCACCTTTTTCCCCTAGCTGAGTTATTATTTTTTAAAATGGAGTAGCTAATGGGCTTATTTAATGAGTGACATTGCTTCCATTTAATAAATAGATTTTGTCTTTCCTAAGAGGCAGATGGATAGGGCCCAAGGAGGTGTATTCATCATCTGAATACAGTTCTAATTCAGATAGTTTGAGAGACACTTAACTTCCTTTGGCAGAAAATTTTAATTTTTAAGCAGGCCAGGTAAAATAGTTAAAATTTGAAGCTAACAAGTGATCAAATCCAAGTAATTGTTTACATGCTGTGAGCTAAAGATATTAAACAAGAACAACAGTTCTTGCCTTTGGTAAAATTATTTTCTGGGTAACCAGTTAGGGAAAATAATGTAATTGATAAAGTTAATTTCTGGGTAACAAGCTAAGAAAAATAATGTAATTGGTAAAGTTATTTTCTGAGTATCCAGCTAGAGAAAATAATGTAAATAAGAATAAATGAAGATGAAATGAGAATTGTAAAAGCAAAGACATAACGAGTTCTGGATCTAATGTCTTCTGAATAAGGATCATATCCTCCCTTCTCTGGCTCTTAGGAAGGGCTGAATGAGACCTGAATTTAGAGACAACTGCTCTGGGACACGGCCTAAGACACTAATTTCCTGCAACAGGAAATAGTGAGCTAGAGGAACGAAATTACAACTTTATGATTGGAAGATGACTAGTACTGGAATTATAAACAGTAATATTAGCTCATCCTGCACGATCTGGACCTTGATTGCTCTTTGCTGCTGCAGATGAGTAAGAAGCATAAAAAAATACATCTATGCTTGGTAGTGATTACAGAGAACTTAGTGAGTTCATTCTTTTAATCTCCATGAGCTAAAGAGGATAAATTTATAACTTAACTAAGAGACCTAAGGGCAGATGCTAAAAGTGAACTTTACCCCAAATGTATATTAAAGAAATGTACAGATATTAAGATTCTAGTAAGAAATACAGAATAAATTATTTTCTATTTAACTCCAGAGAAACCTCAGAGCTAAAATAATAAATAAGAGCATCTAAAGATTAGATGAAGGCACTGAATTATACCATGTTTAAACTTCTTTAAATCTTGTTCTGAACTGTAGTTCATATTTAAATTTGGATATACCAATACTAATTACTTTAATCCTAGAAATACTTTTATTATAAAAGCATATTATAAAAGTTTACATTACTTTAATCTTTTACATAAATACAACCATTGAAAGTTTATAATTCGCAGCATATGACAGAAGATTAGTAAGGCTCTATCATCCAATTATTTTCCTTATTCCTGGTTGAATGCCTAGGAAGAAATAATCAATGTCATGTATATCAATATTGGAAATTCATACCTAAAACAAATATTAGAAAATGTCACATTCCTATTGAGATTATTCTGTTGTAACTGAGATGTACCAGTGAGATTTAATAAGCTTTTAGAACTGACAGTCCTCATTTTGTATTGCACCTATATGGCCTTACAGATCAGGAAGACTGGTTAGTTCAATTATAAACAAAGCTCAAAATGACTAATCTTTCCTAAAACAATGACCTTGGCTTAATATCTATAGACTTCATGGCCTAATTTCAATGATTTAAAAATTGTCTTAGCTCCAAAGGTAACTACTCACCGTTTTCTACATTTGCCAGTCGATGCAGAAGGGGCAACCAAACCAGACACTGCGGGGGAGGATCTGACATGAGGGTGTCCAAGAAGCTGTTTAAAGTGACTTTTTTCTGCGTCAAAAAACCCACAAAAATTTAGAACAGAGAATAATCTTAATTTATCTGATATGCAGATATCATTTGAGATTGAAGAAGCAAGACATTCAGATAACCTCTGACATATAAGAAACAGAACTTGAATTTAAACATTAATTGCATTTTATACTTATACACAGAACTGAATTATTTCCACTGAGGCGGAGTCAATATTATCATAAAGAGAAAAGTCATTCTCAGAGCATCACTTTCATATATGAGGGACAGTATGAAAATGATGAAGAAATATGACTAGACATTCTCCATAAAGTTTTACCTAACAGTGTGTCCTGGTGTACTCTGCTATTCCTATAGCAATCTTCTAAATTTGTAGGATACCTATCCTTTTAAACTTCCACAACCTCCATAAGTACTAAATATTTCATAGTCAACGTGAATGGTTCCGCTATACAAGATTAGGAGGGAATCCTGTTAAGAGGAAGTGATCTCTCCTTCTTAGGAGAGAACAATCTATATTAAAAAAAAATTTCTCTTCTCTCTTTTCCTTATAAACCTTTCCTCTCAATTCGGTCTGCTTCTGTCTCATTATTCTATGATATTGACATTGCTCAAAATTTCCTTTGAGCAATGTTGACATTCCCTTCTGATGTAGAAAATGAATATATTATATCTATACTTTTCCTTCAAGATGACAAAAATAAAGTTATATTATTACATGATATTGTAATAGCATGAATGATAAAAATTACATGTTTATATGCAAAAAAAATCATCATTTTATTTGGGATTTTGAATTATAATATGAAGTTAGATGAGATAGTTTTTTTTTTTAGATAAGAAATCAGTCCTGAAGAGCCAGAGTGCCTTTTCAAGGGCTACACCTTATACTAGTCCTTGTAATTCACAACACAACTGTTTTGGTACCCTTTGATTAATCTTTTTTTTTTTTATTAGCAGCTATTTACAATTTTAAACCTTCCTTGTAATACTAAATACTTTAAGCTTTTTGTAGGACTGATAACAACATTATTATTAAAAGATAAATTATGGAAAGTATGTCATGAGGCAGTATCCTTTAAAAAGTGACCACAATTTATGTATCTAAAATAATGTTGTCTTTCAAAACAATCACTTGGAGTGGCTTGTTCTTTTTCCAATGAAGCAATTAAAAAAATTAAAAAATTTCATCATTCAAACTGCTGTTATAACCAGTTTATGAAGCCCAAAAAATAAATTTTATTATTTTTATTTGTGTGGCTTTTTTTGCACTTCAAATGATCTTATGCATTTTGACCATTCATCATAAAACTCACTCCTGGAAGTCAAAAAAATGTTATTATGAATTTAACATATATAAATTTCTTATCATTAAGGATATGTACAAAATTATATCATGTGACAGTCTATAGGATATTTCAAAAGAAATTTTGAGCAATGTCAATATCCTATATAATTCTTTTTGAATATATGTCCTAATAAATTAAATAAAGTTCTATTATTTTAGCTAGTTTTTAATGTGAAAAATTCTAAAGCATTAGTATATTTATTGAGTATTCTACAATACACCACTACTTAAGATCAGCAAATGTACAAATAACAAATAAATTCAGAGGCAGAGATGCAATAGGCCAGATGATAGATAATGATGAAGAGAACTGAGAAACTTCTAGAAGGTAAAATCAGCAGGACTTGGTGAATAAATCCATTCTGATATCACCAACTCAAAAAGGAAATAAAAAGAGGACCACAAATCCATTCACCTAGGCCTCTTTCTTTCCAACTTCATCACCTAGAACTTTTCAGAACTGGGGGCAGAGATAGGGCACCTTAAGCCAAATTTGGGGAGGGAGCATGGGAAGGGTCAGAAAGGCTTCTTGGGGGAGATGCCACAGGAGAAGAGTTAGCACTTATTGTATCAAACCATCCCTCTCTTATTGATTGTATGGATATGTTTATGATTCTACACAAATCCATGACTATTGAGATACCTGATGTACTTTTGACCTCCTAGATCATCAAGTGAACAGACCGATGAAGTTTATTAGCTAGACAGTAGATGCAGTTTTGTACTGGCTGCTATGCAATGATTTCTTATTAAAGGGATTCTTTTAGAGGACATCCTTGGTTAATTTGGATTTTTAAAAAAATTGTAAACAAACCTGCAATTTATGGATTTGTAAACTACCACTGTGCTGTGCTGGACATTGGTGCTAGACATGAAGACTTCCTACATGACTGGGAAGATATAAACATGGAGTGTCCCCAAAACTAAGCAGCTTCCCCTGGGCTAACTTTTACCCAGTTAAAGCCCCAGTTAAAACATGTTACTCTGAGTCCGAAATGTATCATGTTGTGGAAGATTTAGGTAGCCATGTCTATCATATTTTGGGTCTCCCAGAGTGAGATGTGACATGTGCCACATCTCTTTTTATCTCCTTTGCTAAACACTGGTGAAACCTAATGCTGGGTCAGACCTGTGTTTCATGTGAGGCTGAGTGACAGTTCAGTGCTTTTGATAGTGCAGTGATAATAATGATACTGAGGCTAAAAGTTGTTGTAATGATTAAATTAGACAATGCAAGTAAGGAACTTAGCATGGTATCTGGCTCACAGACAGTAAACATTGCCTATTATTATCATCCAGGTGTGTTGGGTTTAGTTACTGACTCACAGGTCATTTGTCAGAGGCTGGAAGGTATATACTACAGGTTATGAAAAAGAACTATCTAAGTTGTAACTTGAAGTGAGATGAGAAGGAGAGCAACCATTGTTTGAAACATAGTTCTTTAAACACGTTCTTTCCTACCTGTTGAGAGAAACAGGATCTAGCTGATTGTTCTGTGTAACCAAAGGAAGGACCTTCAAAAACTGCTGTGGGTAGTTTGAGAACTTCTCGCAGAAACTGATCATATCGTCCATAAACCATCACCCCACTAGAGTCAGAAATCATTGAGAAAATATCTGATGGAAGGAAAAGGAAAGATATTTATTCATCACATAAAAATTCCCTCCTGTTTCAGTTTGACATATCTGCTGCAAATAACAAAAAATGTGGCAGAATAAATAATACTTATGAAAGAATAATATAAAAACTAATTTTTATGCTGACCTATTCCTGTTATGGTGTTTTCTTTGTTGTCTCTTTGTAGATGAGTCTGGCCCATTGTATTAACTAGTAATTTGGGTAAAATCAGCATTTTTTGATAGGAAAGAGAACATCGCATTGTTATTTTGGGGTCAATTATCAACTCATATATAACTCAATGGGAGAAATTTTTGTGTGCATGAGAAATATGCTAACCTCATTTGAAATGCACAATGAAAATTTTACTACAGCATTGGTGTGTGTGTAGCTAGTTAGCTCTTTACCCATCTATGATATCTCTAAAACTTTTGAGTTTTAGTTTAAGATATTGAAAAATGAAAGACACAATGGCGATAAGGATGTAATGAAAACACTTGATTAACTCTCCACAGAAGCAGAAAACTTTCTATAAATCAGTGTTCTGGGTGGAAGGCATCTGATTTACAGCAAAGGGTCTTTTGACTTATACAGTCAAGAGAAAGCCTGGCCTTGTGGATGATCAATGAGGTAAAGTCAGGGTCTGAGATTATTCTCAGCAGAGACTATGGCTTCATTGAACCTCTGTTCTTTAGTTTCTGCCACTATGTGCACTTAATGAATATTAATGGTATAATTTCCCAAGGTATTTTATAACTCCTCTGTGGAAATCACTATTGAAATAAGAGGGTTTGCTAACATATAGTTTGTCACCACGCTAGATTGCAACTAGGCTAGCACAGCTGCTAGGGTAAACTGTTGTAAATTCAATGTGCTACCTCTGTTCCTTTTGGGCTTAAGTTTTCAAGGTCAAAATATAGTCTGGAGATACTGTTTTTACACTGTAGTCAGATGCTCAGTATATTATAGGCTTTTATTGAATTATGTTTTGGGGTGTGAATTGGTTCTCATTTTCTTTAAATATTCCAGTTATAAAGGATTTCCACTGTGCTTCAAATAGTTTATCAATTATGAGGCTACAGAAATTGTCTGAGCAAGAAAATTAATGTGGTTCTCATCCACCTTCACAATGTTGTTTACTTAGTGAATTTTATCTCTTATGTTTCATTATAACTAGTCAAAAAAGAAAAAAAGAAGTGCCAAAGGGGGAAAAACTCATACTACAGCAAAAAATTCTTTATAGGAACTCAATAATAGGAAAAATAATAGCCTTTCTTATTAGAGTTGCCATTTTGTTTGTTTTCAAGCAGGTTGATGAAAATTGGATCATCCTGATGATCTTCTAGGCTTTGATTTTCTAGGCCAGAGCACATTTTAAAAAGTAGATTAGGACTTTCAAATCTCCCACTGAATTCAGACAACATTCTAACTAGAGCAAAAGCAGAAGTACCAACAATGATCTTTCATACACTTGAAGCTAATATTAGACTCAGTTATGTTAATGAAGGTTTGTAAAGCAATAGGTAAACTAGGGCTAGGTCACTGGGATTAAAGGGAAGTGACTGGTAATGCCATTCAGGATTTTCAAAAGAAATGGAAGGACTCTGAGGATGCTAACAAAATATGTGTTTGTACTTTAGTTCTTGGCCCTCTGTTTTACATATATTACATATATACGCATACATCCATAATATGCTTCTAATATGTAATATACATGTATGTATATCAAATAGAGGGCTATTTCCAGGATTAAATTAGTTAGTAGGTGAAAAGCGCATCGATTTAAAGCACGCAGAATAGTGCCTGACATCTAGTCCACAGTAAATGTTAGCTATTTTTATTATTAAATTTAAATCACATTTTTCTGCCATTTACTTTATATATTTAGGCTTTGCCTCCCCATTGGAATTATTCTTTAATGTTCCAAATTATCCTCTAAACCACCATTGTACTTCCCACAGTACCACAGAATGGTAGATACTGCAGAAGATTTTACATTCATTAATTCATTCAAATAAAATTAACTTAGCACATACTAAATTGTGTGAAATTGTGCTAAGCAAGAAATATACAGAAAAATCAGGAGGTGCCAGTCTTGCCCTCTGGGAGGTCCTGGTCTACTAAGGATGACAGAGACATGCTCACATCATGCATCATATGACATCATCTACTGTAACATGGTGGTGTGAATATGGAAATATGGAGTAGTGAGTTGGGGAAGATTTTCTTACAAAGGTGACATCTGGGCCAAGAATAAATGACAATGAGGGGCTAGTCAGGCATTAGGAAACAGGGTCAGGATGTGCATTGGTATGCTCAAGCATGACGCATTCACAAATCTTGAAGCAGTTCATTGTGCCAGGGGCTCGCATACACATAAGGGCACGGTGGCAGGTGAAGAGCTTTGAAAGCTCTACTAAGGAGTTTAGATTGTGTCCAGAAGATGTTGGGGGAGATATTGAAGAATTTAAGGCAGATCAGTGAGTTAGAAATATTACTCTGGGCTTAGGCATGGAGGCAGAACAATCAGTTCAGTAATAGAAACTCAACAAATACACTGTGTTCACCATAATGTAGTCTTTTAAGGAAAAACAAAACAAGCCCTTCCCAGAAGCTTTAGAACAGTGCCTGGCATCCCAGGCTTACAGCACTGGATTCAGAATTTCATAAGATCTTTAAGACTACCCAGAGGCCCCAAAGCAGAAGTATAAACAAGTGTTCCATTTCATTAAAACAACAGGCTATATTGGGACCAAGAACAATTTGACAGAAAGAGAATATTAGGTCAGTTTATATTTAGGTTGCCAAGTCCTATGACCTCAGGGCATGCCCTCATATCCTAGGCTGCCTGGAGGTATGTGATGAACACCTTGCATACTGGTTCCTTGCGGCTCTGAGTATTGGAAATTGTGGTGCAACCTGGGGTTGTTGTCCCATTTAATGCATTTTAAAGCAGTTTTAAAAACTTTTAAATTTTCTATTGTTTTCTACATTTTTGTTTTTTATTTATTTTTATTACATATTTTTAGAATTTTATGGTTTTACTAACACAAATACAATGTGCACACAAGCTGTCTATTCATTTTCTTCGCTGCGCAGCCTGGCTTTGGGATTAGTGACTCTGATAGCCAGTTGGGCTACTCTTTCCATAGGGCTCTACAGTTCTTTGAGGAGAGATTGTGAGCAATCTCAGCACAGTAAGATTTGTTGCACATCGGCAGCACTTCAAGCTGCTTGACATCATGGACCAGCAACTTCCAAAAGCCACTGGGCAGCATGTGCTTTGTTTTCTTGTTACTCCCATACCTTGAACCTTCTGTGCACTCTATTGTCAATGCGTCTGGGTTTCCGCCAATTATGCTTAATTTTGACATATCAGTCTGACTGGTGTGAGATAAACTTCTCAGTCCTCTTTTTGATGATCTTGGGCTTCATGAGGGGTCTGAGGGCAGCCATGATGCCGAATAGTAGATGGCTACCACCTCCGTAGGCAGCGCTGAGGAAGAGCCATTTTCACGTTTTAAAACTTCTGATTTATTTCCAGCCAATTACTCTTGCCCTGTTCTCTCTAGCATTAAAAGGCTGGTTGGAACAAACAAAATATTTCTGTGTGCAAAAATAAAAAAATCGCCAAACAAGCACAGCTGGCATATAGGCTTACGATGAATTAGAATTTAAAGAAGGGAACACAAACCCCTCAAATCCTGAGAAATTCCATATCCTTTCATTTTACTTTTTCTTATTACAAAAGCAATGCAGAAAATCATTACTTTGCCTGTTCTATTATTAAATGCAAGCTGGCAAAAGAAGACTAGAGAAAACACCCACAATCCCACTCACCAAGAGTCAGCCATTGCTGTCTGTGGGCGGATTTGCTCGTATTTGCTCATCTAGTCAATAATTATCACTAGTGACTAAGAATGTTCATTTTTGACTAATTAACATTTTGGAGAGGTTCTTCCAGCCAAACTGCTTTCATTTAAATTGTTCGTGGTCAAATCGCTTTCAACTGACTTACCTGGAAACTATTAAAATCACCTTCCTGGGATTAATTCTACGAAGAGTGACTCCTTAGTCAGAGAACTGGGGACACATTAGCCTGTGATTCAGGTCCACAGTTCTGGGAGACGGCAACGTGACGTATTGTGATCACATTATCTGTGTTTCTACAGAATTTGTGATACTGTGAAGCTTATTTCTGCAGACTAGAGAATACAGTTTACTTCCAATGGGATTCATGCATTTGTTACTTTTTCTACCATACTGAAGAGGGTTTGGCAACTAGATAGCATTCTTTGCTCACCAATTATGGGTTTTTTGGTGGGTGATGAGGATAGTGTGAGGAAAAAGCACTGTAGCAGTTACATTGTTTGCTAGGAATTTGTGGACTTGCAAGAGACCTGTAGGAGTTTTGACAATTGGTAAAGATCTGCTCGAACACTTGGTTATATCTTGAGCTTTGGAATTGTGCAGACATTGTTCCTTGCTTACCCAACAACCATTCCCTTCATCTTTATTGGCTCCAAATTTCTTTCTAAGCTAAGGGAAAGCAGTGGCCCTTCTTAGGCTAGAAGGTGAGAGTGGACTATCACCTTCTAGCCTAAGACTAGACTATCAAGGTCATCCATGACTATCAAGGTCATCCCTTTCCTGTTATCAGTAACTGCTGTAGCAATTGGCCTGTGAGGCCTCCCTGAGCAATGAGACTTTGGAGTGAGATGTGATTCCCGAAACTGTCATACTCACCTTTTCCCCAAGAGAATGATAAAATCTGACACTGAGGAAAGCTGAGTAGAAAGATGAAAAGCACTTGGGTCCTGGATAGCAAAGAATTAACCTGGTTCATGAAAGGCTCTGAGTTCTGAAGTGCAGAACACTGATTCTCTCAGTTTTCCTCAAACTTATTTTAATGGGACCTTTTCCCCAGGTACTTATTAACATAACATTGAATGGGTATTTAGAAATGTTTCTTTAGACTTCTGTATTTAAAACATTTATCTAACGTCCTCAGTATGTGTCCAATCGTGACATGAGATCAGCATTCAAGGCCCTCAGGAGATTCTATCCTTGCACCGGCTAAACTTTCTCTTCTAAGCCTAACCCTGAAGGACATGCCCCTTGGATTACTCCGAAGATATTTTTTAAAAAACTGCATTGGTTCTGCCACCATCTAATTTCGCTATTACCCTCAATCAAGCACTGATGTAGCTAGTTTGGAATTTTAAAAAATCTTTCTAGCTAATTAAAGAGAAACTAAACTTACTGTTATAAGGTCTGGTTGGGCTTCTCTGGATCCTGACTGCATTTGGCCAGTCCATGAAAGGAGGTTCGTGGAAGTGAGGGAAGATGTGAACTTGTGTGGGGCTTCCATGTACCTTCCATGTACCTACAGTCCAGTGTCATAACTCTGCCTTGGAGCAAGTCCAAGGAAATTCCAAAGGAACAAAGGACTTTTTCAGTATCTTCCTTCATTCTTCCCCTCTTGGTGTATCAAGAAGCAAGTGATCACACTCACAAGAGGCCTTGAGTCACAGATGATTGAATAAGAGGGACTCCACAGGTATCTAACAAAATTCCCAAATTTAGGATGGGTAACTCAGCAAATTAGTCACATAGCTAGGCTTTCAATTTTGGACTCCTAGTTCTCACAACAGTGCTCTTTCTTACACAGCCTTATAAACAAAACTCATACTATTTGGAGCAAGGGAAAGGATTAAATGGAAATTTTTATTTTAAACAGCAGCATGTACATCATTTAAAACTAGTTAGAAATGAAACTTCTTGCTCCCTACCCCCACTGTAGGCCTACTGAATCTAAAATTCTGGGAGCGGGACCCAGAAATTGATGTTTTAAAAAGCCTTCCAGGTGATTCTATACATACTAAAATTTGAGAACCTCTGGTATAAGGGGAAAAAGTCAAGGTTCAAATCCTGGTACCATTTTAGCTACGTGATTTACTTTAACTTTCTGAGTCAGCATCTTTACCTAAAATCAACCAACCAACCAACCAACCAACCAGCCAACCAACCAACCAACCAACCAAAAAACTCCCACTACTTTGTTTGTTAAAAACTCTACTGCATTTAGTGACAAAAGGTACTTAAAAGGCCCATAGTCACTCAATGTACTGTGGTTATCCTGTTTTTATTGGTACCTAGTTAGTTCTCAGTCCATAGTGTCTCTATGCAATTACTATGCCTCCACCCTGGCAATGCTTACTTAAAAATGGCTGGAGTTCCTAGTGATTTGATCAGTTCTGGCTGAGAAGAATGAAGAAATGTGCTGGGAGCTTTGGTTTTAGATTATTTTAAAAAGAAAGGTGGTCAAACAAAGACTTCATGCCCCTATGAAGATGGACTTATGCCTGTAGGGCAGTACAGTACAATGAACTTGAAAGAGCGTGTATCTTACTTTAATATCACAGTCTAGTTGGTGATGTTGAACAGGTTATAAATAATAAATAACCTGTAAGTACAAGGATAACATTCATTTCATTAACATTTATCTACTATGAAAATATTTCTATGACGAAATCCAAAGATCAATGAAGATCATATTTCTAACAACTCTCATAGGATGTGGAAAGTCACAGATGGGCAGGGGGATGGGGCAGGAATGGTGGGGAAGGAAATGTGGTATGTAGGAGAAGAATAAGCAAAGAGAGACACAGAGAGTAACTTACATCTTAATTTGTCCATGATCTTCCCTCCGCACAATGTAGCTAAAGCCATTTTGACAGCAAATACTGAAATTTTGCCATGGCCTTCCCTGTTTAATGATAACAGAAAAAAAAGAAAAAAAAAGATGTCATTTGGAGAACTTCCAGTAACAAGGTTTGACATTTTCTGTTCTGTAAAATTCATAGGACACTCTAGCTGCATGCATTATGTGACCACATCCATTTTAGAAAAGGTTGTGAATACAATTCAAACATTTCAAAAAAACTGTCTAATCAATGTTTCCTTTTTTCAAGAGATAGCAGCATCTTCAAGTTATTATTTGTATATATCAAATTTCTCAAAGCATGGACTGGTAGCCAGAGGGATATGTGCCATTTAAGTATGGATTGAAATTACAAAGCATGCTTTTCATTTTGGATTTCATAAAATACTTTTATAAATGATGATTTCATGTTTCTATTAATGTATTTAAACAAGACTTCAGAATTTTTTTTTTTTGGTCAGAGAACTGAATTTTGTTAGGGTAACTATGGAGACTTTTTCACTACACATTTTTTTCACCCATCATTTTTTTCCCACAAGTCAACTACACTTATATCATACATTTACTTTTCAAAGGGAGTTGGTGCTTTATTATATTTTATTAAAAACTGTTTTTTAAATTTATTTTTTATGGTGACATTGGTTAACGAAATCCAGTGTTTCAGGTGTACAATTTAACAGTAAGGCATATATATATATTGCATTGTGTGTTCACCTCCCATAGTTAGATTTCTTTCTGTCACCACATATTTGACCCCTTTTACCCCATCTACCTCCTACTCCTCCTCCTCACACCCTCTGGTAACCACTTGTCTATTGTCCATGTCCATGAGTCTCTGTTTGTCCCAGTACTTTAAAGGGGCAAAAATAAGAGCTCTGAATCATTCTCCTTTCACCTAAATGACACTAGAGCTGCCAAATCTTCATTGACATACTAGGTATAACTAACTTGCCCTTCACAAAATGTGATATAAAGGGCATACTCTAAGAAGTATAATATTTAAGCTGAATGATTTTCCAACTAGGATAAACTGTTTATTCTTATATCCTTGGAATCAGAAAGTGTATCATATTAGTAATTCACTGTTTTGGTAGTTGCTACCCTTTAGAATGATCAAAAGAGTTATTTAAAATAATAATGTGGCTGAAAGGTAAGTAAAATCTGTATTGACAAGGGTTTAGTATATAGAATAAATCATTTATATGAATAAGATTCATAGAGCTGATGTATTAGAAGAGTAAGATACAATAAACAGTTGTGTTTTTCTTCTTTACTAGACTTCAGAGAGAGATCATTTGCTATTCATCTTTGCCACTGTCATTGTTAGCATAGTACCTGAAAAACACCTAGGCAGAATGCAAAACTGACTGGACCTATGCTAGTGGCTCTCTCATTTATATTTCTAAGCCTGCCCACAAGACTTATTTATTTGAAATCTTCAATTGGATATCCCAGGTCAAACCAAGTGTGTTCAAAACAGAATTTATCATCTTTACAGAACTCTCCCCTAATAGCCAGGCCAATCCTATTACTGACTTGCTCTTCCTCTTACAGTTAGGTACAGACCGTTAGGATCATCATGTACCTAGTTACCCAAAAACAAATCCTGCGGAGGGTCACCCTTGACTTCTTGCTCTTCCTCAATTCACTACTGCCCTGAACAAATGTCTGAGGGACTCAAATATACTTCTTCACCGTATATTGAACCCATTCCCGTCTTTCCATTCCCAATGCCATTTCTTCCATCAGCTCTTGCTTAGTGTAATAACATATTGAATGATCTTTCTGCTGGTACACTCATATCACAAATTTGGCCATATTATTTCATTATTTAAAACCCCGTGGTTAGCATACAGGATATAGTTCTAGCTTTATCTGCCTTCTCCACTCTCATCTGTTACCATTTCTGGTGCACTCCATGCCACAGTCACGCTGTTTAATGCTCTTGCCCTTTCCCAGCATGATCTGCCCAGGACTCTCCCTCCCAGTCATCAAGACCCAGCTCAACAGCATCATTCACTCTGTTCTGAAAACAGTTCCCACCCCCTTGATGTGGAGGCAATCACTCTCCCCTTCATCTTTACCTATTATGTGGCACCTATCACACCGTGTGACCATGACTGGTTTATTTACATGAATGCATGTGAATCCACACTGAGAAATTTTTGGGGGCAGAGACCTGTCTTCTGAGTAACTTGAATTCCACTGCCTTGTACTTTGTCTCACACAGAGTTAGTGAAAAATAAATTTCTTATATTAATTAACAACCATTAATCTTTATAATAGGTGCCCCTAGAATTCTGAATGACCATTCATTAAGTTGTTTACTAATTTTAGAGCAAGCGGCTATAGTAAAAATGTAATAATTTTTGTAAAAACCACCTCATTCAAAATTATTCCATGACCCCAGCATTTTCATTGCATAAATACCTGGAAGTATCAAAAATTGTATTTTAGGAAAGAGTTAGCTTCTCTTCGTAAGCTGAAACATGATTCAAATAATAACAGGAAAGTCTATGAGGTATGAAAGAATAGGAGTAATATAGCTATAACGTGTCTTCGGAATACAAAGAAATTGAAGAGCATTATTTATGAGACTTAAAGAACAATAAAAGTTTCTTTCAATGAATCAGAGAGAACAATTTAACCTGAGAAAGAGAATGGACCACAGATGATGTTGGAATACAGCAATCTCCAAAGGACGAAATGATAGCTCATGAGTGAATTCTTAAACCTTAGCTTTTAATGATCATAGGGATACTGTCCATCCTGTATTGTTCCTTGAAATGCAATATATATATATA